TGCTTTTATGAAATTTCACTGAACGCCCATGCACGCACGAGTTCGTGCTGACAGCAAATATTCCGGCCCGTACCCGGGGGCTCACGCAGGGGCCAAAAGCCCGGCCCGTGCCCCCCTCTAGTATCTACGCATGTACATACGCATATTAAAAAACTTGAAAAAGAAAAAAAATCCAAAGATTTGTTTCTGAAATAATTGCGAAATATGTTTTTTGGGTAATTTTTCAGTTATCGCCAGAAATTGGAGAAAATGTGAACTCAACTAACCCCTAATTAGTATTGTTGGAAAGGTATTATCCTCCTCTTTACAGCTATATATAATTTAAGTCAATTGGAATTATTTTACAGGCGTTAAAATAACAAGTAATTTTTAAGCAAAAAACAAATCGGACTTCAATTCCCATATAAAAATTTAAAATTATCGTTAATTTCTTCAAGATCCAATGTTCCAATCTAAACCAAATTAATATGGGACAACCCTTGAGATACCACCTTTCCTTTTAAAAAAGAAATCGGTTACGCAATAACATATAATAATAATAACACAGACCAACAATGTTTCCTAACCAAGAATCGGACTATACTTTTCCGAAGGTCTTTGACGTGCTGAATTCGAATCTGACCCCTGAATAGCCCAATCACGTCAGTTTTTCGAGATATTCTAACCAAAAAGTACAAAAATCACGGTTTTTGGGCACATTTGAGCTCCTGTAACACAATACTCCTCATTTTCAGAATAACCGAGATAATGCACAATTTCGGTTCAAAACCTAAATAATGCATATGAAAACCCCGAAGTAATGCATACATGCACAGTTTCGGTTGGAACCGAAATAATGTCTAAATGCAGTTTCCTATTCGCAATTTCGGTGCCCCTGTTACAGGTACTTCACGATTTGCAGGTTTTACAGGAAAAGCTGTTTTCGCCATTAATAAACCTTATGGAAGTTGGCGACCGGGAACGACTTCCTGTAAAAACCTGCAAATCGTGAAGCACCTGGAGCAGACTTATTGTCACTTCAGCAATTTTCCAAAACTTGTTTTGTTGAATTTTTATGCTGTTACAACAACATATCGACAATATCAAACAGTCGTTAGCGTATGCGATCAGAGAAAAACGCACTAGGGTGGCTGCGGAAGCTTGGTGATGTGGAACCTAAAAAGTTTTGGGAAAGAACACCATCTGCGACATCCCTATTTAATTCTCCTTATCATTAAAATTTCATCTCTCGAAAAAATACCGATGGCTCGGATAAATAGCTATTCACCGTTTTAGTCCCTGTAGAAGAGCATGTTTCAAACTTCAATTTCACAGCAAAATTTTTAGAGAAAGTACCTGCATTGCGACTTCCGACTGCACTTCAAAATACCCGCATCATTAGGCCCGTAAGATATGCAAGGCAATGTTGTAGATTTTTAGTGCCTGTCTCATCGTCGACAAGTCTATTCTTGGAACACAAGTGACCATCTGTTTTTTATGTTCGGGGAATGCAAGTTCAGGATTTTTTTAAGCCAAGACACTTTCATATTTTTATAGCATTTGTTACTCTGAACGCAGTCGTCTCCATGTGCTTCTTCGATAATAGTTTGGTGTCGAAATTGAGGCATAAATGCAGTTTGGCTCCAAATCTCAAATTAAAAAAACAAAAAACAAAAATTTTGGGATTGATAGAGATGATTGAGCTGAGTATAACGGTATACTTCTTTTTTTTTGGGGGGGGGGGGGAAACAACAATAATTATCAAAGGTTAAAGTTCAAAATAAGTTATTTTTGAAATCAAGATTTCTTAAAAACAAATAGATGGATTTTGAAAATTTTGATATCATTTAATAGGAGATTTGAAATTGATTTCCTTTAATTTTGTATACGTACTTTATATACATATATGTTGTATAATCCTTACAAAAATTGGAATAATGTAAAATAATTATAAAGAAAGTTTACAAACCACAAGTGCGGCCGAAGGCCGCCTACGCAGAAAGGTGTTCCCTGCAAAAGGTGTTCAGTGCCTTTTCTTCGCAACACAGAAAGAGAATTCTACTTTGTGAGGGTTATAATCCCTAAGTGCGGCCGAAGGCCGCCTACGCAGAACGAGTTCAGCTCCTCTTTTTCAGCAACACAGAAAGAAGAATTCTGCGCAGTAAAGTTTACAATTCCTAAGCGCGGCCGAAGGCTGTCTACGCAAAAAGGAGTTTTGTGAAAAATACTGTGTGTAGTCGGTGTTGGGCAGACTAGGGTTGTTTTATATAAATACTTTGTACAGTGAGAACTCTTGACAGCATACTGTATATCAAATAAAAGCTTGATTCATTTTCCATTTAATTGTTTAACTCAATCATATAAAAAATAAGGTGATTTAAAAAAAAAAATGGTTTGTATAGATTTGTTTAGTATTTTTTTAATTTTAATACAAATTTTGTAAAAAACTATTTAAAATATTGTAAGGCACGTATATCAAATTAAAGAGAGTTAGATTTCCTATCAAATGAGATCAAAATTCTCAAAATCCATCCGTTCATTTTATGAAATCTTGCTCTTTAACATGGTGAAATAATAAGGTGTTGTCACTTAGGGGGTGGTTGTTATAATTTTGGCAATTTCGGCATACCAGCGCTAAAGTAATGCATACTCCATTCATTCAAATTTCATTTCTGGGCAAAATGGAACAAAAATGGAGCAGACAATTTTGTGAAAAAAGTATGCGTACGTATCACTTACTACGTTTATACGCACGTATTATTTGCAAATAACAATTTGCAAAATGGTAAACTTTGCGGTATAAACGCCGAGTTAATTTTTTATTTGCAAATAACTAAATCGCGCAAATAAGTATTGATTAGTGGTACTATTTGCAAATGAAAGGCCGAAAATAGTCCTTATTTTTCAGTTTTAACCATCATCATATGTGTGTGGTACGACCGTGTGGCCTTTAAGTTTTACAAATAATAATTTTAAGTTAGAAAAATATGACTGAATAATAATTATTAAAATCAATATATTTGATCGAAAAAAAACTAAGTAATAATAATTTCTTTTGAGCGAAAAAATTAAACTGTAATTACACTGGTTTACAGAAAAAGTATTTTATTGATGCAAGCTTCATTTAACTGGTATCGGGTCCACTGATATATGTAAGTATTGGAAATAGTACCCAAAAAGTAGTATAAATAATCCTAACCTTTTCTCCCTTTTTCTACTACCCCAAAATGCATGGCCGCAATTGGCATGCAGAAAAAGTGAGTGTAAGTGGCATCACCTTATATTTATTTCACCATGATCTTTAATAACTTTTGCAGTTGTTGTTTCCCAAAAAAAAAGTAGTACATATACCGTTAAACTCAGCTCCATCATCTCTATCGAGCCCAATATTTTTTTTTTAATTTGAGATTTGGAGCCAAACTGCATTTGTTCCGAAATTGATTCCACCGCTACTCTTGGTGGCAGTTTTTTTGCCTGTCAAAATATGTAATATTTGTATGTACATTAGGGTGGTCCAAAAATGCAGGTGAAAAAGTAAAGTCGGACTTTTTGTGCTCTCACCCCCTAGGATTGTTCTATACCGAAAAAATATACCCTTATTTTTTATTTAGAAATCAAAAAATATTTAGAGGTCGCGCGAAGCGCCCAAAGGTTTCCATGTATTTTATATGGAGAAAAAACAACTTTTTGTAGAAATGGTATAGAATACTTAGGAATCAATACTAGAAAACTCGTTTATCTGCAGGAGATTCCCAATAATAATACCCAATTATTTATTTAACCTTCTTTTTTATTGCAACTATAATATATACAGTATCGGTCATATCTATAGCACGCCATTTCAAGGTGATATTGTGTGCCACTTATGTTTATTTATTTATTTTTAAGAATTTTCAATTAAAATACAGTTCTTTCTCTAACAAACCCCATATAAAAACAAGTTTAACAATTTGTAGAAAACTTCAAAAAAGTGCAACAAATTTTCACCTAAATTTCAAACTTTTTTCTCAGAAGTGTTTGAATTTTTTCGAGTACACAGTTTTTTAGCCACTGCATTTTTAGTCTGATAATGTGCAAATGTCAAGTGGCTACGATTTACCGTTAATTTTTTAGAATTTTTTTTGTCGCATTGGCTTCCATATAATGAATAAACTCAATTTATTTGTATATGGATGGAAACCGCAACACCTTTGGCGAAAAAAATTCTAAAAAATCAACGGTAACTTTTAGCAACTTGAAACTTGTACATTATCAGACTAAAATTGGTTGGGCTATAAAACTGTGTATTCAGAAAAATTCAAACACTTCTGAGAAAAAAGTTTGAAATTTAGGTGAAAATTTGTTGCACTTTTTTGAAGTTTTCTACAAATTGTTAAACTTGGGTTTAAATGAGGTTTGTTAGAGAAAGAACTGTATTTTAATTGAAAATTCTTAAAAATAAATAAATAAACATAAGTGGCACAAAATATCACCTTGAAATGGCGTGCTATAGATATGACCGATACTGTATGTCCGCCAAAAACCAACAAAAACCCCAAAAAATGCAATGGGGAGACCAATAAAAAATCGTTAGTGTTAATAAATGGTTAAATAAACAATTGGGTATTATTACTGAAAGTCTCCTGAAGAGAACCAGAGTTTTCCGATCGAAAAATATTGACTTTCAAGAAATCTATACCATTTCTATGAAAAAATTTATTTTTCCCATATAAAAATACATGGAAAATTTTGAGCGCTTTGAGCGACCTCTAAATATATTTTGATTTCAAAATAAAAAATAGGGGATAATTTTTTCGATATAGAACAATCCTGGGGGGGTGAAAGCATTACAATTCCGACTTTACCGTTTTTGGACCACCCTAATGTACACCAACCTCGAATTAAACTTCGCATATTCTTAGATAAAAGATTTAATTGCATAGAATGTTCATATTCCTATTTGTCGGTTAACTTTATTTGTACATTAGCATTAGCTTATCTAGAAAGCAAAGTTTTTTTTTTAGTGAAAACAAAAATTAGAATTTCTTGTATACAAAATATGACTTTATTAACTATTCGCGAATATTACTTTTAAATTTAAGTAAATAAGAATGCATTTAGTAGAAAAAAACGCAGTTCTGTATATGACAAAAAAATACGTTTAATGCGCTTCGTTGTCGCATTGTGCTTGTTTCATTTTCTCTTCTTTGGCTTTTTGTCTATTTATAAATGGCATGAAACTCCAAAGGCTGGCGCCACCCAATAACGTAAGTCCCAAAGTGTGAAACAGCGGACTATAATCCCTTACTGCCTCAAACCAAGCGCCACATAGTGGTGGTCCTATTAGTTGCAATATTCCATTCACAAATAAGCTAATACCGTATGATGATGTTAAACGCTCCTCGCCCAACATATCAGCCATGATAACAGCGGTAATGCCAACGTATATACCGGATGCGAGCCCAAAAACGGCACACCAAAAACTCAGCATTCTATAACTGGTGGCGAATGGCAGAAGAGCAAGTGACAAACCAGATACGGCGAGACCTCCAACGAAATACCAAGCCTTTGGTATAAGACCGAGATCAGAAAGTGCCGATCCACCAATACGTCCAATGAGATCGGTTGCCGATACAATTGAAATCAGGTAAGCTGCTAGTGACTTATTAAAACCCAAAGCAACACCATAAGCAGGCAGTAATATAATGAAGTTGGTGTAACCAATGGCATTTGTTGAATTCGAGATTAAAATAACCAGATAAGTTGGGTCCTTCAATAGGCTAAGGTCGAAAAATTTGGAACGTGTAGGCGGTTTTTGTTCACTTTTATCGCCAGTGGCATCGCCCATTAGACTTTCGCCAGCTGCTGCTCCTGTGCTGCTTGCCATCGAGCGAAGCGAGAGGTGTGAAGAAAATTCTTTGGGTTGAAACGAGAGTGTGCTGCCGTGATAAGGCGTGCTTATGTATTGAAAACTACTGGTGGAAGGCGAACGACGGGAGAGACGATTCTTTGAATTATTACGCAAAGCGCTGAGACGATCTAGTTTATGACTGGACCGACCGCCTTCTGGTACGGCGTACAATGACGATTGCGAATTTAATTGGCCAGGCGTAAAAGTTTGATTGCGCTGTGGTAAGCGGACTGGTGTGCTAATTTTGCGTGTGCGTGAGTTTGGTGCGTATTCGTCCTGATGTTTGCTGCAATTTTGTACGACCGCCGCTGAAGCACTACGTACAAATTGATTATCCGGTAAAAGTGCAGGCGGACTATATGATGGAAAGGGTTTTGTGACTACATCACTGCAACCATCATGCGACACCACATCGTTATTTATTGAGCCAGCTTCGTCTACAGTTTCGAACTTCATAACAATTCCGATATCTTCCTCGTCAATATCATCAAGCGCATTCTCGTTTTTAGGAACACGAATCATATGTTGTTCAACTGGTTCATAGAAGATTGCAGCAACGAAAACGTTCAATGTTAAGCCACCCATTATCAGAACGGCACCTCTGCAAAGTAAGAACATATATATTTGTATAGTTTGTAAGAACATACATATGTATGTATATATGTATGCATGCTAATTTGTTTAATACCTGTATCCATAAGTTTCGAGAAGCCAACGCAATACTGGCGGTAAAATAATCGATCCAAGTGCACTCCCCGATATACAGAGTCCATTGGCTAGGCCACGTAGTCTAACAAAGTATGACGTCACTATATACACGGTCGGAGGGAATGATAGGCCGGCACCAATCCCCACTAGAACTCCATAACTGTTGGGTGTTTGTTTTAACTCTAATTAACGCATCCATGAAATTCTCGTTCAATTACCTTAAGTACAAGTATGCTACAGATGATGCCCAAAATGACATGATCATACCAAACGCCGCTGAAGCACCACCCATTATTGTAACTGTTCGGTATGAATATTTAACAGACAATATACTGGATACGGGACCTGAAATGAAGTTTTGCGTAACAAATAAAGCATGTTTGTAAGCATGAGAAATACTCAAAAAAACGTATCCGCACCTTTGCTGCAAGTGTCATATAAAAAAAAAAGTTATATTCGAGTAAAGTATGCAAAAATGTCCGCGACCACTTATTTTATGTTGTGTAAAAACTTTATAGCTGTATCGGTTAATACCTAATTAGTAGAAAATGTGTCTCCATTTTTACCATGGGAACGTGTGTAAAGTGTAAACCTGAAATCCGATTTTCTCGTGTTTTAGATTTTTTGGTATTTAACAATCTTGCAGCAATTGTACGATATAAAAGCTTTACATTCTGACCTAAAGAACTATACAGGAAGTAACAAAGCGCCGGTATCCACGCTCCTGTCGCTGGTGATGCATCGAAAGCTTCCAAAAATTCAACGAATAATACACCAAAACTTTTAATCATGCCCGGTATAAGGATGTTCACCATCATCGCACCAAGTAATACCAACCAGCCCCATCCTCCATCCGGCGGCACCAAGTCATAGTCGTTACTGTCTACATTTGGTTTGTCATCCAATAAACTAACTGCAAAAATGAAATAGAAATTGCATCAAAGTTATTTTAAAATACGTAAATGAGTTGCATTCATTGCTAGAAGTATTTAACTCAATAATGGGTTTCACAAGGTGGTCTAAATAAGTGTTCGGTTTTTTTATTTTTTATTGGCAGTAATAGCTCTTTTTCCATGTAGTGCTGGTTGTCGTTTTCCATCAAAGCTTTTAGGAATGAAATGTTGGTGACTTTTGCGATCCAATGCATTACCCAGAAGATAATTTAGGTAGGCCTTCTTAAGTAAAGCTATTCTAAGAGGCCTACCCAAGAAGGGCTGAAAGAAGTGCTTCCATGCATGCCTTCTAGAAGGGCTTATCCATTTACAATTTACCCGAATGCATAAATTTATATAATTTAGCATTACAAATGAATTTCAATAAACATTTTAAGCTGCAATAATGTATATTTGATATAAACCTTAAGCAAATACTTCAAAGATATATGATTTTTATAAATTAAAGCAACTTTAAAAGAACTCCTCCTAAAGGTCTCCTGAAGTACGTCCTATAAAAGCCATTGGTAGCGAAAGAAGAAGCCCTTCAATTAGTCTCCCTCCATACAAAAAAAAGGAGAACGGAATGTAGGGTGGAAGGACTCTTCACTCTCAGTAAGGCCTTTCGGAAGGGCTTTTAACTCCTGAAATTATCATGGGGCTTGTATTATTCAAAATAAATGAAATAATAAAAATATTTGTGTTTATTTAATTTCATTGTTACATTTTGCTTTTAATACTTTAACCCAAATTTCTAATTGCATTGCAAACCAAAAAAATAATAATGGCTCTATTTGGCTGGATTTTCCTTATTTTCCAACTGAATATGCACATGACGGAAACTTACCTGCTTTATCACATGATTCGGTAGCTCCGTTAACTTTTAACTTATTGCTATCTGCGTTGGAACTCTGCTTTTTAGTCACAGATACGTCTTCTCTCGCCATTATCTATAAAAAAAAGAATCGAAAACATATGTAAAAGTATAAATTTGTTTGGTAGTTTTGGCAAATTGGCAAATTGGCACTTTACATTCCATTCCGCACTGTACCCTGGCAGTAGCTTTGCAATTACTTTGATATCCAAAACAAACAATTTAATTAATATTTCAATTGAGTGCCTGTAATAGTTGAGTATCAAAATGGGCTACTTTATGCCCAAGCGTGTTGCGGTAAACAACACAGCCTAACCTAATTGTGACCTAATTGAATATTCAAACAAATACATAAAAAACAGTAAATTAAATTGATCAAAGTACATACATACATATCGAGCCCTAACCGCTAAAAGGGCGTAAGCGACAAAATGTTCCGACTTTCTGTTTTAGGTTTTAGTTTACCTACCACCAAACGCACCAGCTGTCAAAATTTCAAAGTCCTACGAAGTAGGGTTGAGTATAATATCAAACGTATTTTGTACCATGGAAGAACAATGTTTTTTTGGGGACATACCATTCGTTTTTATAGAGAAATAATAGATAGGTATTTTAATCAATAATGTATGTATTTGTGTTGAAAAGTTGTTTTCTTAATAACAAGGATAAAAGAAATGAGATAACGGCATCAAATGATTTTTATTAATGCAAAAAAAATTTTTTTTTTTTAAATCTCTCTTGGCTTAACCGCTGCATTTGCGTGCTGTAGCCTTTTTTCGTGACGGCAAAAAGGGCGTAAGCGACAAAATCACCTGTTTCATTAAAGATGGGCAAAGAGACCCACAAGTATTATATACCTAACATCAAACTTAACTAGTTCATTAATCTTCACGTTATTATCTACAGTAATTGCAGTGTTAATAAGAAAAAACGCCTACCTATGAAATTTTTTTTTTTTCGCTTACGCCCTTTTGGCGGTTAGGTCTCGATATATGTACATATGTTTCTACACATCCGTTTATTACTAGTTGTACATTCGGAATTACATATCGCACACCGTTTTCAAAAGAGTCACAACTCAAAATTTGGCATTTTTTAAATTATGCGCTAAAAATGTACACAGAGCTTTTATTTACCTTTCAGCATATGCTGAAGCAACTTTTTGTTATAATTTGTTAAAAAACCCTAAGGTAAAGTCGGCCTTGCCCATATGATTAGCATATGCTACGAAATAGTTTTTCGCATTTTCCACCGAACGTACTATTTTGAGTTGTGACTCTTTTGAAGTTGGTGTGCGATATGTATGTGGAGCAATTTTACATATAAATACATATTTCGCTTATAAAAACAAGCGAGTGCTTCCGTGTGTACTGTCATTTAGACATGAATAAATATGAAGTTGGAACGATTCTTCAGATTTCAAGGTGTTACTTTTTTTTGCTAGTCATTTTAGTGATATGTTAGATATTGTTGGCTGGTGTTGGCTAATTTTGTTATCGAACTCAACTATTATTGAGATGATTATGATCAGATGCGTTCATAGATTTTTCAGATATTAGAAATAAATATGTACATAACATATATAGACACATACATATATGTACATACATATGTATGTATGTATGGATATGTAGTATATACCCTACAGAATATCTGACTAGCTCAGAACTAGCGTAGAACTAGACCTTTTGCCGACAGTACTAGTTAAAACCGGGGTTAAAACCTGTAAAACTGTCAAAAGGCAAAAGAAGCCAGAGAACCGAGTACGGGAATGCTTTCTGGTAAATTCCTGTAAATTCTTGCGAGTTAGGGGACGCAAATATGTTTTTCGTGATTGCAAATTCTTGCTGGCTAAAATTCTTCCAGCAAGAATTTTCAACTTCTCTCAGGTGAACTGTCACTTTGCGCTCTAAGTTTTTGAGTGATGGATAAGTTTTTGGTTGCACGAACGCGATTTGGGCAAAAATGATATTTGTAAATTTTTTGCTCGACGAACAAACCTGATTTAAATTCATTAAATCTTAAAACTCACAACTGCTTCTACCGCGATTTGAATTCGCGACAAACGATGCTTGAGTCAGAGGCCTTCTCGCTGAGCTTCTTTCGTATTGTAGGAGAAGTGAGAATTTGTACATTTACACCGCAAGTTTCAACAGTCCCGCTCTGCATCCGCTTTGCAGTAGTTCAGAGATAGTTCTGAAATATGTAGTTCGGAACTTGCGTTTTGCCAGTCTTTTTTGCTGTCTCTAAATTTTACTGCAGGGTATGTATGTATGCATATGTAGTATGTATATCCACCTTTACATGTAAAATTAATGTACTTTAAAATTTTCCTACACAAACGTGCCACCCTAATGCACTTAAAAATAGTTTATCTTACTTTTGCTATGATAGGATCTCACACACTTTCATGTAGATACAAAATATGAATGACTATACCTACAAACCATTATAGTGCGTGGTTATGATTGAGTGCCTGTTGTAGAGGCCAGTTTGCATATTGTTAACGTCAGCGCACGTAAACGATGGCGTTGGTGTTATCACTTGGTAACGATGGTCAATTACATCATTGAGTCCACTAAAAACTAATTGATAAAGTATTTTACAAGGCATCAATTATGAAGCATAATTGATTTGGTTGTATTCAATAAAATCAAACCTATTACATGGAAATTCTGCAAGATCAATTCGATTCAAGCATGTATGTATGTAAGAACATATCGCACACGTAAATCTAAAGTGCGATCAACTAAAAAAAAAATACTGGTGATTTTTTAGCATAAATCAATTCATAGGACTTATGTACATCCAATTAATTGAGGTATTTTTTTCATATATACATTAACTAAAAAACTACTGTTATACCTGTTTTTGAATTAATTGCGTTAACTCTCTACGATTTAAAATCAGTTAAATTACCCTCTCCTGATTTTGAGTTACATACATAGCTCACTTTAGATCTAGGTGTGCGATATGTAGATAGATAAAACTACAAACATTTTTAGCGCTATTATTTGATGAATTGATAGGGACAATGTCACCTTGTTAGCAGCTGCAGGGATAGAGAATTCATGTACGTACACACATATGTATGTGGTATTTTATTTCCTTACAATTCGTCTAAATTGATAATCGCAGAAATTGTGCTCGGTGTGTGTTGACTCTACTTATTGAAACCATCGTACATTTATCGACAACTTCAAAACCACAATCACACTAGATGCGGTTTGAAGCGGTTGCTGCCGGATTTTGACCTCCCTTTAGGACAGTAACCCGTCTGCTTCTGCGTTTAAAGAATATGCTAGTGACCTTATTACGTCGCCAGCGCACGCCCCGTCTTCATGCGGCACAAGATATAAAGACGGGGAAAAATGCAAACAAACTGGCCGATCGCAAAATAAAGGGAACCATTTGATTCAGCTGTTTAAGCGCCACTCACCTTATGTAGCCATTACCATTGCCATTAATATACATATGTACATATGCATTTTGTATGTGATTCATTTCTCGAAGAACACGCATGTTTGCTTAAATTCATACTTATGTATATTTTTATACTAAAGTGCATATACATACATATGTATACATTTGGATTTTTCAGTAAACAAGAATTTTGCTGTACAAATCACATGAAAAACAAATGTGTACGTCTCATGTAGTCCAGGGTCATCTTGCCAAAACAAAGTGAGTAAACTCCCCTTCTCCATTTCCGTTCATTTCGTTCATAAACAGCTTCAAGTACCCGTATCACACTGTCGACAGTCCCACAGACGTGACTATCTACTTATTAGGCTTATGCTTTATATGTTTTTTTTTTTACTTGATTAAAACAACATTATACGATTTTGACCCTGACCCCGTCTGCCACATTTTCAAATTTACTTACAAATGTCACGTTTTCTATATCCTCCTACCTGAGAGTGTAAACGGGTATACTTTTTTTACATTGCAAATCACTGAAAATGTTCGTCGCCCCTTTTGGTAACAACTTACCTCATACACGAACTTTAAATTCGTCCAGTTTTAGTTGATATTACTTATTTAAATATGGTTTTTCGCATTAGTTGCATGTCAAAATTGTCCGTCACTGCGCCAAAAACATCACTACACTATGCAAAATAAAGTATTACAAAAATAATAAAGTAACGATGTAATAATGAAAGAAAAATCAAAATCACTGTGCACCTCGACTTCCACACATCTTCGCTGCTTTTTTACAATGTTACCGTATTCATGAAAACTGCCAACACATATCGAAATCCGATAAACTTCATGGCGCACACGTAGATAACAGATAAATTAATCATAGCGCAAACAAAAAATTCAAACCATTATAGCACAAATAAATATGTACATTTACATATGTATGTTTACATATGCAGATATTATTTGATTAAAAAGGCAGGTTAGCCATACAAAAAGCCTCAAGCGTTAATTTATTTATTATTTATTTATTATTTAGTAATTATGAAATTATCTCGGAATACGCCGATAACTTCTTGGTGTCCGACCTAGTTTTATCGATTATATTTACGAAAAAGACGAGAAATGACAAATGTGAAAGTAAACAAAAATTGACTCTAGGAAGGAAACGTTTATTAATTAATTAGGCAGAAGTGCAGAATACGGTCCGTTAAGCTAGAACAAAACGAAGAAGTGGGCGTGGTCCATGAACCAAATGGAACAGACCTGACCGGTTGAGAAGCAGCCATTTGTAATAGCTATTGAAAAAAAAGTGTGTGACATTCGTAATTGTGAAGTTTGCTATTTCTGTTTTGCTTCTTTCTTTATGTGTATTTTGTCGGTGGATTATTTCAGTGATTTTTAAGCGATTTTCAATAAATTTTATGTGCAAATGTAATTAAAATGAAGTGCGCGGTGATTGGTTGCAAAAACACGTACAAAAATAATAAATTGGTTAGCACAAACATGTTATACAAAATTACTTGCATTTTTTTCTTTATGCTTCGTCTTCATATTCTTTGTTTATTTTTCAATGAAAATAACATGGCGCCGAAATTTCAAACGTCAGCCAGAAAAGTACTTTTTTCTTTTGCTTCATCTTGTCAGATCTTGTATAGTTGGATCATGGGCGTGGTCCGCCCTTTTTTTTTCTAATTCTAATGGTATAAACATTTTTTTGGCGCAAACTTATATTTTTGAAGCTATGGAGCTGTGAAGGGGGAGTTTTCGAAAATTTAAAATGGCCATATTTCGAAAACTACCTGACGGAATTTGAAAAAATTGGTATCGTTGGAAAGACAAATGAAATGTATTTCCTAAATTAGTATACTTTATGTGCACAAATTTTAAGAAACCTCTTAAAAAAAAAAACTTGTTTTCTTCGCAACACAAAGATTATTCTACTTTTTGAGGGTTTTAGTCCTTAAGCGCGGCTGCAGGCTGCCTACGCAGAAAGAAGTTCTGCTCAAAACTACTTCTGCTCCTTTTCTTCACAACACAGACAGAAAATTCTACTTTGTGAGGGTTTAATCCCTAAGCGCGGTCGCAGGCCGCCTACGCAGGAAGAAGTTCTGCTCAAAAATGCTTCTGCTCCTTTCATTAATTTTTCGAAATAAAGCCATTTTAAATCTTCGAAAATTCCCCCTTCGCCCCTCCATAGCCCTGAAAATATAAGTTTGCACCAAAAAATGTTTATAACAATGACATCAGGAAAAAAAAGGCAGACCACGCCCACTTTTTCGTTTTGTTCTACCTTAACGGGACGTTTTCTGCACTTGTTCTATTCATTTTGAGTTAAAATATATTTAAATTGACTGTTTAATCGGGAAAAAGCATTGACACAAAAAGAAATTGCATTTCTAATAAAACAAATTTAACATCTAATAATCAACGATTTGACTATCTGCCGTCAATAAATGGATGCGTCGAGCGCCAAACAACTGTCAAAATTCTCATGCCCATACAATTTGTATGAAGTAAAATTTTTACTAGCAGAAGCTAGCAGCTGTAAAAATGGATGAACAAAATTTCGTGCCAAATATTATCAATAGTCAAATACATCGATCAGCTGTTTACTTGTTAGTTTCTGCTTGTTTTGCGTTTCTTAAAAAGTCGTTCGCACGAGGCGATTTTGCGTTCAACTTTTGCTTTCAACTTACGAAGG